ATCCCAGTGCCAGGACCCAAATCCCAGTGCCAGGACCCCTGTCCCGGTGGGACCCCACGGTAATCCCGGCCCGTCCTGGCCCATCCCGGTGCCCCCGGGGCTCGGCACTGCCCCGGTCCAGGCGCGCCGCCGCTCCCGGGGGTTGCCACGGATATCGATCATGGATATCGATCATGGGTATCGATCATGGGTATCGATCATGGATACCGATCATGGATACCGATCATGGGTATCGATCTCCCTGGCGACGGGATGCGCTTCCCACCAGATGTCGCCTCCTCCCGTGCCCGGAGCATCCCCCGAGGGCTCGGGGACCCTCCTTTGGGGGGTGACACCCCAAAACCCCTCCCCTGGGCAGCCCCCGCCGTTCCCCCCACTCCATCCCCTCCGCCCGTGGACCGCGCTGCCAAAATCCCCCAAATTCCCCCAAAATGACCCAATCCCGGCTGCCAGCGTCCAGGGACTCCGCCTGCTCCATCATCTCCGCCGCCTGCATGCCCTGAGCCCCCCAACCCCCCCAAAAAAACCCCCAAATCCCCCCAGTTTTGACATGACGGGAGGAGCGCGGAGCCCCGGGAGCCCCGGAGCCCCCCGGGCGCCGCTCCCGGCGAACGGCGAGCTTTGGGGGGGTGGAAGATGGATGAGCTGGATGCTCGGAGCACCCCCGGCCCCGCGGGACACAAAGGCGGCTTTGAGGGCCGATTTTCCACCGCCGCCCATTAGCATCAGCAAAGGCGCGGCCGCCGCGGGACTCCGCCGGTTCGCGGGCCCCGATCGTCCCCGCAACGTCCCCAAAATCCTCCCGGCGGCCACATCCCCGCTTCAGCCGGGCCGAGCCGCGCTCCACCGGCCCCGGGGGGATGGAACTTCGCACCTCCGTCCCTTTGGCCGGCCGCTCGTCGTTCCCCCCATCCCAGTCCCTAAAAGAGGGGAAAAAAAAAAAAAAATCAAATGAAAATCGAAGTTTCCCGTGGCGCACAAAGGCGGCGGGCGGGCATTGTCCCGGGGCTGCATCGCATTACCCGGGGCCGCAGAAATCGCTCGTATTTCACGCTCCATCGAGCAGCTGCCTGTGTATATTTGGTGGGTTGCACTTTTAGCATGACAAAAGCAGAGGGCCTGTGAACTCCTTGCTCTTCAGACCTCTCCGACTCGTCCCCCCTCGCAGCCCCCCTCGGTTAGCATAACAAACTGCCACGCTTCCCCCCGGCCGCCTCGCCTTTCCCTCCTTTTATCGATTGTATCGATCGCGGGGTTTATTTTTTAAATATTTTTTCCCATCCCTGATTTAATGTGTAGCTCGATATTTGGAGGTGAGAGGGATTGGGGATTTCGGGGATGTCCCTGCTGAGGTTTGTCACGGCTCTTTGTCACCCAGAGAGGTCTGGTGGCATTTTGGAGCTGTCCCCTGCGGAGGGGACAGAGCTGGAGTCACCAAACTCTGCCCGGGTCCTGCTGGGGCTGGGGCTTTGCCTTGAAATTTGGTTAAAAGATGGAAAAAAACGGGAATTGTGGGGCTGGGATGAGGCTCGGCGGGGACCTGTTGGGGCTGGAGCAACCTGGCCCTGTCCCCAACCCATCCCCAATGTGTGCCCCCTGTCCCCAACCTGTCCTACCTGTCCCAAACCTGTCCCAAACCTGTCCCACCTGTCCCCAGCCTGTCCCCAACCTGTCCCAAACCTGTCCCACCTGTCCCCAGCCTGTCCCCAACCTGTCCCCAATGTGTGCCACCTGTCCCAAACCTGTCCCCAATGTGTGCCACCTGTCCCCAACCTGTCCCAAACCTGTCCCCAACCTGTCCCCAGCCTGTCCCCAATGTGTGCCACCTGTCCCAAACCTGTCCCCAATGTGTGCCACCTGTCCCCAACCTATCCTACCTGTCCCCAGCCTGTCCCCAGCCTGTCCCCAGCCTGTCCCAAACCTGTCCCCAACCTGTCCCAAACCTGTCCCACCTGTCCCAAACCTGTCCCCAGCCTGTCCCCAATGTGTCCCCCCATCTCCAACCTGTCCCACCTGTCCCCAACCTGTCCTACCTGTCCCAAACCTGTCCCCAACCTGTCCCCAGCCTGTCCCACCTGTCCCCAACCTGTCCCCAACCTGTCCCCAGCCTGTCCCACCTGTCCCCAACCTGTCCCCAACCTGTCCCCAATGTGTCCCCCCTGTCCCCAGCCTGTCCTACCTGTCCCAAACCTGTCCCCAA